CCATCTCCATATCTGTTTAATAGAGAGGAGCATCTGTATTTTTGACAATACTAAAAGTCATTTTGGTATTTCTTACTTCCCTGGTATACCACAATACAGTCATTACTTTTACATGACATGAGAGAAGATTTATTGTGTAAGTCCAACTAAAACCGGACTTTTAAAATACATGTAAACATGTTGGTCTGACTGAAATGGTACGAAATAGAATTTCTCAAAGTCAAGCTAACACAAAACACACTAATGCGATTGGGTGTTGAATTACTCCTGCATGTATACAGTCAATCAGACCCAAACTGGCCTAGGCGCTCTGAGCATGCTCCACAGTTTCCACCCCCGGCTTTGACCCAGAAGTCGAAAACATTAAATGCATAACAGAAGAAGAAGCTGATAACAACATGGCAAATCTACATCCAGAGCTGTGCATTTTTGGATGGATGAGGAGACACAGTTCATGCTGTGACAGCTGAAAGAGTTAAATATTTTAAAACACATGGATGGGAGGAAAACATGGAATGGTGATTGTTTGGTCTGTGACGTAAAAGGTCACCTGGAAAAAGGTCCAATACTAACAAGCTAAGAAGGGCATGTCGCCACCTATTGTAGTGGAGTCAGACAGACTTTGGTCAATAAATTGATTCCCCCTTCATGCTTATACACAGAGACAAGGACAGTAGTCCAATTAAATAGCCTAATCGAGCTATAACCGTAGCTCCAATTAACTGTGCATGTAAAAGTACTGAGTGACGTTGCTACTGCAAGAGTTTATATAACATAGACTACAGGGTTTTCCACACATTCAGATATTTGTAACGGCCTGCAGCAATTAAAGCATCTGTCACCACATATTGATTTTTTTATTTTTAGAGCTGGACTGCTCATTAGGAGCACTGTTGGAATATATAAGCCATTTGATTATGCATTGCTCCACATGCCTGCAGGGTGTACTCTGGGCACAAACGGAGCAGCAGAATGGCAGGTGCAGTGAAAATGAAATGTACATGTTTTCTGTCACTCACATTCTCATCCATCGATCTAATCCAATCAGCTCTGATCAGATAGACTGATCAGTTATCCACCCTGCAACTCAAAACTCTATAAACTGCTGCTGAGGAAAAAAAGCAGAGCTCCACTGCCGTGTTCATGGACCTGAAAAAAACTTGAAATTTAGAGAGGGGACACAGACTGATACACAAGGACACATAGGCAGGAAAAATAAGTAAAATTAGCAAGTGGTTTTTGAGCATTAAAGCATGAAAACATGTTCTAGAGGAAACCAGAAATACAAGTATAAACCTAAAAATGAGCAGAATAGGTCCCCTTTAAAGAAATGGACCCTTCTTATAGCGTCTTCTCACTCTCACCCTCTTTCTCTCTAAATCGTCACAGTATGATTATTTCATCCTGGCTCATGTTAGGTGTCTTTCCACCGTGGGGCTGCTGTAGTTTGGGCTCTGTTCCAACAACACAGCCCACCTCGACCCTGCATTACCTGTGAAACATAACTCAACAGCTTTTGAAGTGTGTCAAGCATATCATGGCACAAAGCCACAGACACACTTTTTTTCCCTCCTCTCTCTTTACCCCTGCTTCGCTGAAACAGCCCACAGAATCACATTTTCACATCGTGGTCTCCTGTGAGTATTTTGTAATTTGAGCTGAAGCACATATAGGGGCTGAAACTGTAGCATAACGCGAACCTTCTGTTTTTTCTCACTCTGTTGGAACCATTTTTTAGCCTCCCAAAGTAGGAGTGTCTCATGCTTTGTAATCTATACAAAAACCCAAGATTTATTCCTGCTGTTTTCATGCTCTGTAAATCAGATTGATCTGAAACGGCCTCTATTTGATGTGACTGTTGTGACTCCAGTAAGAAGACAGAAAATTAGTGCAGTTTGCCAAATATTTTAGCGGTGATTGAGTAAATCATCAAAAGACGCCTCCCTATCTAACTTTATAAGGCAGGCGGCTGTTTTGTTTTTCCTTGTTTTCCTGGACAGCCTTGGCATGGCTTTCATTTACACATTAATCATTTACCTGACCTCTTATTTTGGAAGCGTCTAAACTCTCAGATGCCAGTAAAATATGTTTTAAAAAAAATAGGATGAAAAGCAGATGAGAAAAGGGGTCAAAAATATTTTATCATCACCTAGCAGCTGCTGAACGTTACTCTGATCTTTGTTAAGCTTGGTCGGTAATGTGCATAAGTTAGACTTGTGAGAACAGGCTTTTCATTACGTGTTAAACTCAATTTGGTGCCAAAGTGGACACTGCACATCAAATATTAAACAGTCGCAAATGGCAGTTTAAAATGCCACTTTTGAGAAGGTAAGAAGGCCACTTTTTGTATAAATGTTTTTGCATCTGTAATGCAATTAGTGTGTTTCCTCAGTTTGCAGAACAACTTCATTACATTTTTTGCTGACTGTATGCTTATACTGGAACACAGTTTTTAGCCCTCTCATTTTCCTCCTCCAGTCTCTGTCCGTCTCCTCACTCGCTTGGCGCCGCTCATTCTGAATGGAAACAGCTCTCCTGCTCACTTTCTGAGGTCTTGTTGTTTGGGGTTTTTATGAGATTGTCCAGTCTGAAAGAAGAGAGATTCCTGTTGTGGATTGAATTTCAGTTGTTTATTTTATTTAGATACCAGATGAACAGATCACACATGCTCACAGCATCTTACCAGCATTTTACAAGTCATCATCTGTCCCTGTCCAGCTGGGCTCTCTGGGAATCTGATTGCTGGTCAGTTGAGACCTTTTCCAAACTTTGTTCATCTTTCTTTCTTTCTCTGCTTGCTGTCACAGATTTCCTACCACCATTTTGAGGAACAAATGTGTAGATCCTCTCATATGAGATTTTTGTTAATCAGTAGTCAGTATGTTTCAAACAGTTCTGTCCCTGATAACTAACAGATACACAGCAGAAAAAAAGGATAATGTATTATCAAATTTGTATTCATGTGTTTAATGGAATATTGCAGCAGTTTGGGAATATGCATTGCTGCTCTCTTAGTGACAGTTAGATGAGATCAATATCATGTCATCAAAAATATGAAGGTGGAGCCAAAAGACATGTCTCAGCTCAGCATAAACACAGGAAACGGTCCGAAGTTTCTCCTGTTTCCTGCATTAAACTAGCTGGTAGCCCATCTCACACCGCTGTAGCAATCGTATACTGCCCTCGTGCAGTTAGGAGCTGAATTGCATGTCAAATAAAGGGGGGAAATAAGACGGTGAATAGTAATAGTCGCATTAAAAAATTGATTTTTCAAAATAAAACGACTATTCGAAAATTCGACAATCGTGACCCATCCCTAGTAAAGACGACCATTTGTGGTTTTATTTGTGGACTGTAGCTGTGTCTCAATTCAGGGGCTGCAGCCTGTGAAGGTGTCGTCCTTTAAAGACCATAACGGCCGAACTGAGTGATCTATGAAATGGGACGGTCTGGTCTGCGGAGGATTTCCACTTTGCGTCACCAGCTGTTCCTGCCCCCACCCATTGATGCTCTTGTACCTAGCAACCAGTTGCACTTCATAAGAGAAGTTAGTAAGTCATAAGTTAGTTAATGAATCCAGAAATTGTTGTTTTATTTTTATATTTTATGACAGAGTTGAAGAGATGCTTCACCGCCAGAAATAGTGGCGTGTGATGTATTTCGGCTGAGAGGACCATTTTTAGGTAAAGTAGATGTAGACATGTTGAATTAAGATTGTTCATGTTACTATTACTGCTTCTACATTTAGTGAATAGAAAAACAGTGGTTGTGTTTAGGGATGGCATGTCCTTCAAAAATAACCCTACTGTCATTGGCACTTGGGATAGGTTGGTCCGCCAAGGTTTCCTCTGTTGCAACCTCCAAATTCAGGGAAAGAAGGCCTCATTTCTTGGCAGCATTTCAAGGAGCCTTTGACATGGGACAGCCTTGGTCATGCTGCTGTGATGCAACTGGTCTTCAAATGCAGCCTTGGAAGGCTGCAGCCTTGGAATTAAGACACAGCTAATTTCTTTTATAAAATAATCCAGCCCATAACTCCACATAACTTCTCATTTTTACACTGTGGTTGTGGTTTCGTATGGATCGAACAAACAAGGATTGTTTCACCTTCAGACAGAGCTAGGCTAGCTGTTTCCCCTCGCCTCCAGTCTTTATGCTATGCTATGCTATGCTATGCTATGCTATGCGATGCTGTGCTATGCTAAGCTAAGCTAACAGTCTTCTGTAGCTTCATTTTGAATGGACAGACACGAGATTAGTACTGAAAGTAGGGTTTGGCACTGTTTACATTTGAGCGGATACTAGTGCTGGTTCTGGTACCTGGAATTCAGTACTCGTGTTCAACGGTACCTTTGTTCAATATTTTACTTTTTTTGTAATACAAAAATGTAATTCTTGAATGAGCTGCAGGGTTGGCATAGTAGACTATGTCTGTCTGCTTGTGTATGTGTTTGTGTGTCTGCTCCATCTAGCAGTGATCTAGCAGGATATCAATAAATAATATAAAAAAGAAAATATAAGAGATGCATAAACTATTGCAGCAGATTGCAGGTACAGCTGTAGTTTCCTGTCTAAAGTTGAGCATGTCGACTCTGCAAGCCCTGTTGCTGACCTTTGAGCTCTGTGACTGGCTTCCAGGCCTCCAGGCTTCCAGGCATCTGGGTGATTTGGTGGCACTTCTGCTTCTTGTCTAAACCTGGCGTTCTCACCCAGATACATAGATTTAATGTGTAGCTGCAACTTGACTGGTTCACAGAGGGATACAACACTTTTACAGCTTACATGACTTTTGCTTTTAGTCCAACAAGTGTGCAACAAGTCAAAATGTCTGTTACTGATTTGATCTGATTGAGGAATCTGTATGTATTCATTGATTTAGACACACAGCTCATATTGATCTATGATGAAAAATAACGACCTCACAGCTCACAAACCTCTGTAACCTACAGGTTGTGCTGTTAAACACAGCTCTCTTTTTCTGTTTTTCTCTTCTCTCTTAGAGGAGTGACAGTGTCTTTGCCAGGCTTACTGGGAGAGGACCATGGCCCTGAGCGATGCAAGTGGTGACCCTCTAGCCCTCAGCAACGGAGGGCACCATCCTCTCAGTGCCAACGGAAACACCAGCTCACCAGTTAGCAACGGCCAGGACCCTCTCAGAGCCGCTTCTAGTGGTGACTGCTTCACAGCAGATGGAGATGAAGATGTGACAGTGAAGGATGAGGCGTCCAAAGTTCAGCAGAGATCGCATGTGCTCCTGAGAACAAACAGACCAAGCCAAAATGGCGGCATTGTCAAACAGAATGGCTCCCTGAGGAACCTTCCCCCATCCTCCCCTGCCTCTTCCTCCCCGGCTGTCATAGACTCCCAGAGGCTGGCCAAACGCCACCTTTCCTCTACTCTTTCCCCGTCCTCGTCCTCCCCTTCTCTCCAGCCCCCGCCACTCTGCTGTCCGCACTGTCACTTCCACTCCACCCTGTGCTGTCCCTGTGGACAGCAGGAGTGTCCGCTCTTCCAGAATCCAGGCACAGGGCCTGGCTCCATTCCCCACCCTGGGACCACTTCATCCTGCCCGTGCTGCCTCTCTGCCTGCACATACTCTCACCCTCATCCCCATCCTCCTCACCCATCCTCCCCTCTCTGTCTCCAACACCACCATCACCAGCGCTGGCAGGAGCACCTCCAGAACCAGACACCTGGGATCAGGTAAGGGGGAGAGAGAACTTTGTGATGATGATTTTCTTTTTCCTAATAGTTTCGATCTCAGTTTCTTCTAAAGCATTACTCAGTATGTTTGTCAGACATAGTGCGCCTTGGCTTACATTCTGGTATTTCCCTCATCTGAAGTAATTCAGCTGAGTAGTAGTCTGACTCAACATCAGTGTGTGTTCAGTCTTGTCAGTATGTTTTTTGGGGGTTATTTTGCGAGCATTTCAGTTCTTCCATCTTTACATACCCCTCCTAGAGAATATATTCGGTTGCACCAAGCCTACAGATCTGTTGCTTGACTGTGTTTGCTTGCATGTGTGTGGATGATTGTGTATTCACTGACCCCAAACATATCCCTAGTTTGGGTGACAGAGGGACTCTCAGAGCCCTCCAGGCCCCCATAACTCCCTCCCTGTGCCCCCATGCTTAATAACATGTCACATCCATGTGAAGGGATCATGTTAGGCCTGGAATGCAGGAGGAGGTGGTTAAGGCTGTTAGGGACCATGATACATATGGACAGTACTTTGGAGAAATGCAGGAAGGTTATTTTACCAACAGTTTTCTCCAAATAGAGGCCTGTCATGATGATGCTGCAAATAATGGTTACTTGGATTACACCACCATGTTGGAAGACAGACAGGACAGTGAATGAAAGTTTGCCGCTGTCACTCACTCGCTAATGAGCCTTTTATCTGTAGAAAACTTCTAAGATCTGTGACAAACAGCACCCCTTCATGCCCCAAGAAAAAATTCATAGGGGTGATGAGGTGGAGCCACTGAAAATCTTGGGGTGGCATCAAAACCAAAAGTCCTAACTGAATTTCGGGATTTCTACTATGTTGTTGTAATAAATAGGCTAGTTGAAACTATGTCAGTATGAGAGTTAGGAATGGCATACTGGTATACTTTTCTTATTTAACAGTTAATGTGACTAATTATCTGATGTGCATAGACTAATATCGGTACAGTTAGCATGAGTTTTGAGTTTGGCAACAATCCTGTTTTAATGTGCTATGTATCTCTATTAGGCAATTCATTGGTCTTCCAACAGGCTGGTTGTCCTTTTCCTTAAAAGACAAATAAACAGCTTTAATTTGAATAAGTATATTGATTGTAAGGAATAGGGATGTAAATGATAGCCGTGAAAAGTTTTTCATGAGCTACGCATGTCGGTCTATAGGTTAATTTGCGTCGACGTCGTAAATACGTCGCTTGAACGCAACACAGGCTCTGCTCCATTGACTGTGTGCACAGTGCCGTGCTGTGGATTCGGACCAGGCTCGGTTATAATTGTCTCACTTAGGTCGGATTCGGTCAGGAAAATGCAGCCCGAACCGCGCCCTAGTGTGCTCACCTGTGTGTGTGTGTGTGTGCGCGCGCGCACACGCACGTGTTTGTGGACGCATTGGGGCTGAACTCCACAGTGTGTGTTACAGAGAGCAGAGGAGAATTGTAAACATGTGACCATGTAGAGACAGAAATGACATAAGATGATAAACATAAGGCTATTTAGTTTGTTTAATAAAAGGACAAGGTATAGACCTGTTCTATAGGAAAGGTAACCTTACATGACCTCTGTTGTGATCTGGTGCTATATACAAAATAAAATTAAATAAAATTAACTTGACCTTCAAGGGGGGGCAGGGGGTACTGTTGGTAGGGGAAACACTGATGTTTCAATAAATGTTAATGTTAATAAGTAATGTTTTGGTATTCATAATGTTTAAATTGCCTCATTAATCAAATAATGGAAAATAATCGATAATTGAAAAAAATTAATTGTTAGATTTGTCAGTTAATCGAAAAAATAATCGCTAGATTAATCACTAGAAAAATAATCGTTTGGGACAGCCCTAGTTAATTTTTCTGCTCTTAACTTTATTGCACTGCACACCAATAAGGTATGGTGGGAGCTAGCTAGCTGCGCCTCTCATTTGGCAATTACCTTTGGGCCCCCAGGAAGTGAGCCGGGCTTTGAAGCCAGTCCTTGTCGCGGCCAAACATTGTGGTAACGCCCAAAAGGTATTTTTTCTGTTGGCTTACATTGGCTTAAGAGAGGTCTGTAAATCAGTGGATACATTTTTTTAAGCATCAAAACCCTCGCAAAATGAATCGTTTGGCTATCAAGACTTAATTGTCTCAGAGGGATCATCGGTGTCGGCAGATATTGGCTTTAAAATGAACTGTTAGAATAGGCCAAGATGTTTTTTTCTTATACAACAACATGTCGGCTGGCACATGACAACAGACATAGTTCTGGCAGTGACTCAAATAATAGTGAAAGTAATAAAAATAGGACAAGAATAACCCGATGACATCACACACGCCGTGAAAGACGACCGGGGATAACTGGTGAGTACCAGCGTGTAGCGTGTGCCAGGCATAATGCAAGTCCTGAGTCTGAAATATGTCTGTCAGCGAGTCCTACTCCACCATAGACAACGGCAGCATTTCTCCGACCACGTAGCGAGCCACAAGCTCCGTGGCTTCTTTCAGACTGATAGGTTTAACGTTATCTCCGTTATTAGAACCAAACGACAGCCGTTGCTGTTTCGGAGCTGAAGGACCAGCGTTCTAAAAGTAACGGAAGTAACTGATGTCTTGTTTGAAAATGTACTTAAGTATTCGATTACTCAAACAGCAAACTAACGTGTAAGGTTACTCGTTACTGCAAAAAGTAATTAAAGTACTCTAATGCGTTACTTTGTAACACGTTATACCCAACTCTGGTCCTGACCGAACCGTGTTGCTATGGAACCCTCTGGTCTCCCCACATGTCACAAACCTCTTTAAGCATTGTTAACTTCACTGTTAGCTCTCATAGCAGTGTCAGCATGGCTAGTGGTGGCGGGTAACCTTACCAGCGGTTATCACAGTAGGAGCAGCACCGCAAGCCAGCTCCCACCAGGTCGTGCACTGTGCAGGGCGGCCAAGGCTAAGGTTAGCTAACCAGTGGAGACCGCAGGGTGAGCAGTAGACTAACCAAAACTGACATCTCTGTTAAGAAACAAAACGCACAACACAAAGAGGGGAGACTCAGGGGTACCCATCGCACCCATTTTCATTCAGATATCTTGAGGTGAGAGCTCAAGATACTTGCCTCCCCAAAACTTAACCAAACCTTATTTAGCCCGATTCCCAACAAGTTAGCATGATACTGTGTGTACCAATGGATGCCCAAGGTTTCACAACATACCACACCCCACGAGCTTGAAAAATGAGCGCCAGTAATGTTGCCCTCCAATTTTTCATACGGGAGGGCCAGCAATCATATCGTTATGGCCATGGCTGATAGTAGCTCAGCCTTTGGCCCATAGTTAACATCCTCTGCAGGACGCTGGTGTTTAAAAGTCACTTCATAGAAATATTAGTGCTTATTTGTGTCCTGCTTTCAGTAGTTTTTTAGTCTTACATGGCTCGTGTTTGCTAGACCCTCCTGGCTGTTGGGATACAAACAACCAAAGCAAAGTTTAGCCACAACTTGAGAGAGGAAACTTTTTTTTTCTTTTTTTTTTTTTCTTTTTTAATTAATGAAACCTGCATGCATACTCATGGTGCCCATGCCTTTGCCAGTTAAAGCAGAATGTTAGCATTGAACTCATTTGTTGGCAGACTCCTTTTTCTTTCCTCCAGTGATCCATATTTAGTGAGTTGGTTCTTTCCCTTTTACACCAAACCACAGGCCCTTCCACCACATTTGAAACTGGAGCCATTTAATGCCTTGCATAATCATTTGCATAATCCTATATTTACCATCTCCACAGAGAAGGGGAGGCAGGAGGTGAAAACTTTGCACAAGTAATTATTTACTCATGTCAGCTCCTTTTTCTGGTTGCAGCTCGTTGTGGGGAATCTAATTTGCATGAGACTTAATTTCTTCTTACTTCTCAACATGGAATTTTCCTAAGTGAAATGAAGTTGGATCTCCCCTCATAATTTTCATTAGAAAGAGGGACGTTGTGGGTGGTGTTGAAAGCTGAGGTTTGTGTAGCCACGGTGGGAATGTACACCAAACCTGGTGTGCTCAAATTAAACCCTGGGTGGGCACAGAGAGGCAAAACAGGATTGTGTTGCAGGCATTTAGATGGGTTCAACGACACACACACACCCCCCCCCCCCTGCTCTCCATTACCTTTTATTTTTGTTTTGTTTTGGTTTTTTTTTTTCTCAGATTTTCTCCCACTCTATTAACACTCTGTTTAGTTCTTAATTTCCCTCTCTCTGTCCCTCCCTCCTCCATCTCTTGTTCCACTGCAGAATGGGGAGCAGATGTGGTGTGGGACGTTTGCGTCCCTAATGTTGAACCACTCTCTTATTTACCAAACAGGTCCCTCTTGTTCAGCGATGACAGGTTTGAATTACAGGGCCTGGGTTTGCTCCAAGACTGCATCCCCAACTCCCCCCTTTCTTTCCTGTAAAGTTGTGTTTTGTGTGTTTGTGTGTGTGTGTGTGTGTGTGTGTGAGATGGTGAGATTAGACATAGGAAGCGATATAACTGTCTCAGTTGTGTAGTTTTGCCTTGAACCCAGACATTAACAAAAACCGTCAGTCTTTCACCCCTGTCCTGTGGGCTGCTGGAGTTTGCTGGTAGTTAAATATAACTTACACACACACACACACACACACACACACACACACATGCATAGACATAAACCAAAAATACTATATATTCCTAATATCCCTGATAATCTTAAGGGTCTGGAGTCAGACAAGATGGTGTCAGATATCAGTTTGATCTGCCTCAGGGCTGTGATCTGCCAGATTAGCCGAGGGATTACATCTGTGATCACAGCACACTTACATCTCACACACACCCTCTCTCTCACACACACACACACACACACACACTGATAAGTCGTAACTTTAGCTCTTTGGGGAGACCTTTTTTATGTGCGTTTCACAACAGGGGATTTTTATGCCCCTGTTCTCAGCTTCGCAAAACATTAATCCATTTACCAAGATTAGCCCCTGCTTAGTTTCCTAATGTTTCTATT